ATCGGCAATTTGGGCCCTCAACAAGGAGTCCATTCGGTCACTTAAGCGACAGGTAACAGCCCTGCTATGGAGAGGCAACGGAGAACTTCAAAATGTTATCAGCAGGGTAGCCTGGAGCTCGGTGATACAACCGAAAGACAAAGGAGGCCTAGGGATCTTGGACCCAGACACTCAGTTCAAGGCATTAACAATTCAATGGATCCGGAGACTGTTATTCACTCAACGCCTGCCATGGCATGCCCTTGCCCTGGAACAAATAGCTAGGCTTGCCCCGCAGGCACCGCAGGGAGTCAATCCACTAACTTGGTTGGAGGACCGTTACTGGACAATACCATGTTCCCGTCCGGATCTGGCCAGGGATGACTTCTGGACCCGAGTTCTACACGCCTGGCGACAACTCCCGCTGCCTGATAAACCCCCACCAACGAGATAGGAAGAGGTGGCACGCCAACCCCTTTTCGTGAATAGATGGATAACAGACCGGAACAGTAGAGTGTACTGCAGTTCAGGCACCCCATGGAACAACTGGGTAAAAAAAGGTATAACCAGAATTAAAGATATATGGGACACACAAGTGGGAGACTGGAAAACTGCACAGCAACTCAGGGCCACACTCAAATATTGTCATAAAGTGGAGGAACACATTGAAATCTTGATCTTTGCCATCCCCGTGGACTGGGTTCGTATCCTGCGCAGAGAACCGCGCCTGGCAGAAGGGGATTGGGTAACAGCCCCGGGCGATCAGGAGAGCATAGGCAACGTGGTGGCGGTGCGTGCAGACGAATCCCTGGTCACTCTCTTCCACATTGGCAAGAACAACACGCTCACCCAGTTACAACCCGGAAGTGATGAGATCATGGAGGAACTCTGACCTGCACAGGATCCGGGTGATACAGGACAAAGAGGCGTGGATCGCATATCAGCCAGACACACCCGTGGCTGAACTCCCAATTGACCCCGAGGAGTGGGAGTGGTCTCCCCAGCGGAAACGCAAAAACGGGGACAACATGAAGTTGTACACCTTGACGGTGAAGGCCACCTACCAGCTGCTGCGACCGAAAGTGAATATAAAAGAAAAAGTGAAGGACCGATGGAGGTCTCACCTGAATATAGGAATTGAAGCAATTCGTTCTATCCGATGGTTATCCACCACAAAGTCCAGGCCGACGAAGATGGCCTCGCTACAATGGAAGATAGAACACCGCTGCCTACCCACCAACGACTGGCTGATCGACCGCACATATCTGGAGCAAAAGGGACGGGCGCTGCCATGGTGTAAGTCATGCCACACCGCCTTCCCCTCCCGCAAAATCCCGGAAACCATAGAGCACATATTCATGCAGTGTCCGGGAGCCGTGCTTACATGGCGGTGGTGGGATAGAATCTGGACACAGTTAGCCACTGGTTCCAACTGGCCATGGGATTGGAGAGCCATATTGTGCGAAACATGGTCCTCTCCCACTGACAACGCTTTTGAAAACAACATGTTCAAGTTGGGAAGGAGAGCTGTCATATGGGCCCTCTGGAGAAAACGCTGTATTCTAGCAATAGAGGGGGTCCGTATAGCCGGGGAGGAAGTAACATACATGATAAAACAGTTCATTCAACAAGAACTCAGGGCACAATGGCAAAAAATAAAAAACCAATTGGATTTGTTTCAGATACCCAAGGACATAAAACAAGCAATTCAACAATTCTCGGGGGATTGGTTGGGAAGTGAGAAGGGGGGCTGGATGGCCTCCGTCCAATGGGATGGCGCACCTGCTCAGGAATGCCACCAAGACGAGCTCAGGAGAGATTATTCTATCAGTTTCAGAGACTGGACCACAGTGAGACAAGAGATCCCGCTGCGACCACCCACCGATTTCCCTGATCCGTTTCCGCCCCACCAGTTGGCAATGGTATGCAATGGTATGGCGCAGAGTGAGCGAGGTGGAGTCTGAGGCGGAAGTTTTGCAGCAGATATCTGGCACCTGGCACCTGGCCTAAGGCGCAGCGCTTCCCCGTAGACAGCAGTAGATAGGGCGGGGAGGCGACTTGCTCATTGGTGTGTTAATAAAAAAAGAGGGCCTTTTGAGACCAGCAGGTGTTTTTCTGAATCTGGAAGTGGGGGAGCCAGGAAGAGATAGCAGTTATCTGGCGCCAGGATTAGGGTGAAGAGGCTCCCCCCTCCCAATCTTCAGCTCAGTCAATCCCCTGGTTCTCAGGGTAATCAATGCTGGCAGGATCATACCTCACTTTTCTGAGGTGACTAAATGTGACTTGAACCTTGTCTATGTAAGGGACGCTGGACCCGGTTTCCAGCAGGTGCTGCTCCCCACCAATAGATGGAGCCCCCCCCAGGTGCTAGTGCTGTCTGCTCTTACCAGCAACACTCGCACTGACGGGTGGTTTAAAAAAAAAAAAAAAAAAAAAAAGAACAGCTATGCACAGATGGGGAGAAGACACACAGTGTTTCTCTCTCTGACAAACTCCCAACAACCAATCACAAGTAGAACCTGCGAGGATAACAATTGAAATGACACTGATGATGATCCAACTCAAACAATTATCGTAACAGAGTTTGTTCCAGTATCTCGCCACTCTCAGAACTCACACCCCACTCTCTATCCTACACCCAGTTAGTAGCGCCACATCAGAATGGCCTCCCAGAGGCCAGTGCCAACCACCCTGATGAAGAACAAGTCCTGCGATGAAGTCTTCACTGCCGATGGACAACTCTGACGAAGGAACAGGCAGCTATGGCTGCCACCACCCACGAGTACACAGTGTAGAGCCTCGATGTAGCCCGGCCAGACGTAGATACCCCAGGGGTAGATGCGCTGAGGATGCCCCAGCTATGGCAGACTCAGACTGGGACGGCTATGGCTGCTGTCAACGGCGAGGTCTCAGGATCCCGTCTGCAGACACACACCGCCACCAACTTGCTTGGCTTCTCCAACGCTGCTTCGCGAGAAATGAACTGCCAAAAAGTCCTGAACCGATGGGCCTAACCTATCTATAGACTACACAAGACCTAGACCGCACTGACTGACCGACCAGCACTGTTTCTGTTTCGGCCGGTTCGGCCTCTACCGAACCTGGCTATAGGCTATAGGACCGTCGATCAGCATAGGCCACTTAGGGCCTGTCTGTCCTAGGGGTAGCCCGGGTCTACTCTACGCAGTTAGGGTAGCTGTAGGAATTCGAGTTAGTACTGGGCCTATTTTTCCCAGATTTGCAGATATGTCCCTCACGAATTTCCTTACAGGTAGGTCTCTCGGTTAGCCCTCATCCCAACAAAATTGCGAATCTAACCTGCTGCTGTACTATACAGCCTCGCAGTCAGTCTCGACAGTAGAAATCAGCGAGTCATTGCAGGCTTACCCTCCCTGGGAGCGAGGACCTCCGAGCTAGGGATGCAGGCGAGGTGAACGGCGAGGAAGGTTGCCCTTCTGAGCCGCTTCATATCGCAACACAATAGACTTTGTTGTCTTGAGAAGTTCCCTTCTGTAGAACCATCTGCTCTCAGAAGGAGGCTGGAATGCGAGCCTCACAAGATACTGCCGATCGGAGCCTGTGCCCCACTCATCCTCAATCCGTTCCACGTCATATCCCTTGCCAGGGATTGGTGGACCGAATTGAGGGGGCCGGTCAGGAAATGCATCAGCTGGAGTGAAAGGCAACAACTTGGATGCATGAAAGACCGGGTAGGTGCGTAGATGCAGCGGGACGTCGATAACATCCGACGGACCGAAGGGATCAGCGCCCACTGTATCTAGGACCTGCCATGGACCCAGGTAACGTGGCAACAGCTTGGGGGAAATATCCTCCTCCCTCGACAGCTCATAACTGGCTACCCAGACATGATCACCAGTGCAGATGGGGGAAGGCCGCCTGTGGCGATTAGCTTGTTCAATCATAGCCCTTTGGGCTTTGAACAAGTTCGCTCGCGCTCTTTCCACATCTAGACGATAGCGTCTGGTGAACTTCTCTATCCCTGGTGTCAGATCAGGCTTAGCCTTATCGATGATGTCATCGAGAGGCTGTCGTGGTTCACGTCCCCAGTGTAACCGGTAGGGACTGAACCCTGTTGAGGAGTGGACAGACATGTTATACATGAGTTGTGCCCTAGCCAAGTGAAGATCCCAGTCCTGCTGATCTGGAGAGATGACAGGACGTGGCATCTGGAATAAGACTTGGTTCATCACTTCAGCCAGACCATTGGCTTCAGGATGATGACCAGAAGTCATGTCCAGTCGTGAGTGCAGATAGTCCTTACAGTAGGACTGCCACTCATCGCTGCAAAATCGGGGATCTCGATGACTATAGAAGTGGGCGGTCCATGGTGTGTGACCCACCTCTCTGAAAAGGCTGCTCTCACAGTCGGGACCCTAGCTACCTCTGGCAAGGGGATGAACTCTGCGTATTTGGAGAACCTGTCCACGCAGACCATAACCTGACGCATGCCACGAGGGGTGGTCTTGCCTAAATCTGTGAAGTCTATCGACACAGATTCAGCAGGGCCATCAGGTATGGGTAGGGGTTTGAGCAGTCCCAAAGGAGGTGTACGCTGAACCTTATTCCTTTGGCAGAGCTCACAGATGTCCACATAGCGCAGCATATCACTCCGCATCTCCTTCCAGAAGAAGCGTTGCGACAAGGCTGCAAATGACTTTAGGAACCCAAAATGTCCACGGGCACCATGACACTTTGACATCAGTAGTGTCCTGAGCCGCTGGTCGTGGGGAATGCACAAGCGCTCCTCACCTCTACTGTATGTATACAGTAGGTCTGAACTCAGAGCATAGCCTGGTTCAGAGTTAGGATCTGCTTGCAGATTCCTAACTATGGGTCCGAAAGTCGGGTCCTTAGGCAGTAGACGAGCAATGGTCTGACGAGTCTCCTCTCCAAAGGAGTGAGTAGAGGAGATCAACGCAAAAGAGTCAGGCCTACAAGAGAGGGCATCTGCTACCTTGTTGTAGCAGCCCTTCTTGTGCTTCAGTTCCAAGTCAAACATGTCTATGAACTGAATGTACCGTGCCAGTTTGTCATTCAACTCTCCTTGGGACTTCATCCACTGCAGGGTGGAGTGATCTGAAAAGATCTTGAAGTGCCTTCCCAAGAGAAAGTGCTTCCAATGTTTCAGGGGCACAGACAAGAGCATATAGCTCTTTTTCGCAGGTAGAGTCCTGGAGCTTTTGAGTCTTGATCTTCTTACTCATAAACTCTACAGGCCGTAGACCATTCCCATCATCCTGCTGAAGAACTGCCCCAATGCCATACTTGCTGGCGTCAGTGGTCAGTATGAATGGCAAAGTGGGGTCAGGTAACTTCAGCACGGGCGCACGAGTCAAGGCCTTCTTGAGTCGTATGAAGGCCAGCTGACAGGGAAAGGACCAAAGAAAGGGAGTATCTTTCTTTGTTAGGTTGGTCAGGGGTGCAGCCACTGCAGAAAAGTTCCTGACGAACTTTCTGTAATACGAGGCTAGACCCATGAAGGACCTGACATCCCTCACTGTCTGTGGCTGAGGCCACTCCTGGATAGCAGCAATCTTGGCTGCTTCAGGAGCCAGACCATCTCCAGAGATTACATGACCCAGATAGATAACAGAGGGAATTCCAAAAGAGGATTTTTCTCTGTTGATCTTGTACTGGCTGTCACATAACGACTGAAGGACAAGAGCCAAATGCTCCGCATGTTCCCTGACAGTTTTGCTGAATACCAGGATATCATCCAAGTAGACAACCATAAACTTGTCTAGGTAAGGCCTGAAGATGCGGTGCATCTCTGTCTGGAAGGTGCCTGGGGCATTGCAAAGTCCAAATGGCATGACCAGGAACTCATAAGTTCCATACCTGGTCTTGAAGGTTGTCTTGTAGACATCCTCCTTAGCCATCTCAATCTGGTGGTAGCCAGATTTGAGGTCGACTTTGCTGAACACTGTACAGCCCTGCACCATGTCCAGGAGGTCATCGATCCTAGGAAGTGGCTCAATACTCTTCCTAGTGATCTTGTTGAGACCCCTGTAGTCAATGCACATTCTGAACTCGCCGTTCCCTTTGGGCACAAAGAGAACAGGTGCACCGAATTCAGAAGTGTTGGGTCTGATCCAGCCCTTGCTGGTCAGGGTCTCAAGCTGCTTTCTGAGCTTCTCAAGCTCAGCAGGGGACATCTTGTAGATGCGGCCCTTGGGAGGGACCGCTCCAGGCAACAGCTCGATGTGATGCTTGGTTGGCCGGTTGGGTAACCCAGAGGGCTCCTGCATCAGATCAGCATACTTGTCAACCACCTGCTGTATCTCAGGAGGACAGGAAACAGGGGGAGCGTAAGTCTGCTTGACCAGAGCTATGAACAGACGCTCATGGTCATACTGACGTGAGAGAGAGTAAAACTGTCTCGCTCTCAGGCAGTAGCAAGAGGTTTTGGGGTGATGATCAGCAGCAATCATGCATGGCTGATACACCCCCTGGCTATTAGGTAGCTCGGATCTGCCAGTCGATCCTTGGGTTGACTGCCTTCAGCCACTGCATAGAGAATACCAAGTCAAAGGGTAGCTCGGGGAAGATGTAGAAGTTTAGACTATGTCTGACTTCTCCAGCACTGTCGAAGGTCACAGGGATACCCTTGACCTTCTCCCTGATGCTGAGTACTGTAGAGTCACCAATCCTCACCAGCAGCGGTTGCTGCAGCTGTTCATGCCCAGATGCAACTTTTTAACTGCACTGGGAGACATGAAGTTCCTAGTGGCTCCGCAGTCCAATAGCCCAGTGATCCTGGTGCGGTTGATCAGGGGCCGAAGCATGATGAGTTCAGACTTGCTTTTCTTCCGTTCCTTCAGATGAAGGAAGAAGGCAGCAAGGGCCTGAAGCTCATCCTGCTCCGGGTCCTGATTCGGGTCAGGATCCTCATAACAAAAGGATGTTGCCCGCGCAGTCCCCAAACAATCTGACTCTGTCTCAACTGAAACAGTTGTAGATTCACCTACCTGCGTAGATGAAGGTGCAGCACTGGGGGGAACTGCAGTCCCCAGGGTCTGTTTCAGTTTTTTGAGTGCCCTGGGCTGGGCCTGGCATGTAAGGGCAGTCCTTCAGGAAGTGTTGTCCCTCACATCTCAGGCAGACCCCTCTCTCCTTCCTTCTTCTCCAGACTCCCTCTTGGATCTTGAGGTCATGCCAGGGGAGTGTGGAGGGATTAAGAGGGTCAGCTGGCATCCGGACGTCCTTAGGCAGGTTGGGGGCTGGGAAGAGGAAGGCTGACGTCCCTTTTCCTTCCCCTTGGCACTGGCTGAGGCTGTGGTGGGGAAAATTTCTTCTGCTGCTGCGGAACTCCCAAAACAGCCTGAGTCAGGGCTGCTGCAATATCTGTCTCAGTAGCAGATCCAGTCCCAGCTGAAGGTGCATCAGCCTGGGAATCTGAATCTGAACCCGATGCAGATCCCGCGTGAGTAAAGGCTGCCTTTCCCTTTCTGCCACCTCTAGGGAAGGCACCTTTCCTCCTGTCAGAGGATGGGGCCTGAACATGAAGCTTTGCCTCCATGTCCAGGGCTGCGCGGCCAAAGGACCTCCAGTCCTTGTGCCCAGCGCTGTACAAGGCAACAGCAAACTTCTCAGGCGCTCAACAAATCATCAGTTGACATGGCCAACCCATGGGTGGAGGTTAGCTGCTCGAATTCTGCAAATAAGGCCTGCAGGGTGCCGCTGTATCGCTGCTGTCCTAGGCGAGGATAACCTCAAACGAGGCCTGATTAGGAGAGGACGGGGTGCTGTTGTTGGCTGCAAGGGGTGAGCTGCGTGGGGTTCGGGGAAAGTTAATAAGACCTGATGAGGCCTTCTTAGCGAGTGATAACCTGAAATGCGCGAAAAACGAATCCAAAAAAAAAAACGAAATAGTGTTTGGATCCTCCCTTTCCTCCCTCCTCCTCCCTCCCGCTCTCGAAGACAAGCTCCTCCTCTCGATCACTCTCCACCCTCCTCCTCCCACTCAACTCCAAGATCGGATCCTACCTCTTCGCCCGCCCAACCCCAACACCCCCCC